TAAATGGATATTTATTTCTTTTTCTTTTTAAATTTGAGTATTATTTTGAATAAATATTTTGTATACATATTTTTTACATAAATAATTTTACAAGCACAACACATATTAAAAACTATGAATTATCTTGAAGTTCTATTGATAAGCAGAACTGATTTTCACAATATATATGAAATAACACTTTTAAATTTTCACACATATATTCAATTTATTTAGTCCATCTTCATATATTTCTTCGCAACTAAAGTATAGCTATGCAAAGTGAAGAAGTTCATAAACTTTATCTGTAATTTATTATGAATTAATAGATTGTTCTGATAATTTAAAATGATAAATAAATAAATTAGATTAAACAAAGCTTTACGAAACTCTTTATTTATCATACATAAATATCTATATTATTTTAAGAACAAAAAAAAACTTTTGTGTTTAAAGAATTTGAAAATGTAGCACAAAAAGGGGATAATAATTTGCAAGTTCATCGATAGTAATAGATTTTAATATCCAACACACGAGTTAATTTATCTAAAAGAGTTTGAAAACGTAGCACAAAAAGGGGATAATAATTTATTTAATTCTTATATTTATTTTTTTTTTATTCAGTATATTTCGGAAAAAAAGAAAACCCTCTGAATTAAAGTAAAATTGAATGAATATATCTGATTTAAAAAATCTTGCTTATCCAGGTAAACACAGGTAAGTCTACCTGTACCCCTTAGAGGGCCCCTTAATTGAGTGTGATAATTACTTGTTGTTTTATTCGAGTAGCCATTCGGGGAACACACCTTTAGGAAACATATTTGGTTTTATTTCTAAGATGATAATAATAAAATAAATATACAAGTATAATTACACTTGATATTCATGTACTAAACTAGCGCAAGAAGTAATTTTTTTTCATATCAATGTATCAATTTCATACTTGTCGTGTTCAATGGAGTATAGCTTGTCTTTGTCGTCAATTTATATAGTTGGGAAAACTCAATAAAGCCACGTTGTGTTAACAATGTAATTTGGGGGCTTTAAATAGCATTCATATTCCTTAAGTATCAAAATCCAAATACCATGTAAAATTTTAAAAATAAATAAATAAATGTTTTCTTAAAAAATTATCGACCATAAGTAAATATATTTTAAAACATACACAATTCAAAAAATACTAAAAAATTATTAATAAATGAATGGTAACTTCTTCTACGTTTCAGACCTTTATTGAGTCCCCCTTTATGACACCAAAAATGCCGATGTAATCTTGGCGGTAGTGAAAAGGAATTAAACTTATGCATCGTACTTTTTATCTGATATTAAATTTCAATGATATAGATGCTGAATTAGGTGTCCAGGCCGACATTTGCATTATTTGGGACTTGTAACTTATATAAAACCCATGTGTATGTATTTATTGAGCCTCAACACAATTTGTACCTTTAATAAAGGATTTAAATAACACTTGTTGTATGTTAATGTTGCCGTTCAGGGGTTTTCTCCCTTGAGACAACTTGTGGGTCTCCCAATTCTGTATATTGGACAAAAGAACTATGAGTCAGGATTAAAGTTTATAAAAATTTATTATTGCTTGTTGTATTTAATTTGCACAATCTCTTTGAATGTTTATCCCTATTTCTTACTCCCGCAGAAATATTATTTCTCTCCCAGAATGGGAATAAAATATTCTTAAATGGGAGAATTCTGTTTTAGGGAATTACATATAAATTTATAAAAGCATAACAGTATTTGTCGTTTCCCAAAATATTGGGAGTTCTTTACAATACAATTATATTATAGTCAGGTATATTTATGGGAGAGTTATTTTACTTCCCACTAATTTTCTCCCACAGACTAATTCAATATAAATAGTAAAAAGTAATAATAGAATATGCTACAAATTCATCAGCTCCCAAAAATTAATTATTAATTATCATGATTATGTTATAGTAATTACCCATCGATATCGCTCCCAGCCATGCTGGCGATGCGATGATCGAACCTATTCTGACCTATTCTAAACCCATTCTACACCTATTCTGACTGTCAGTCGATTTGCGCTGGCTTATATTGGCATCGGGCTCGATTGTCGTGACGTCACGACAAAGTGAAAATACCCGCCATGTTTGTTAGTTGATATGCTGCCATGCCGATCGATCCGACGAAGGAAACACGCACCCTAGGGCGCGGCTAATTACTGTGGGAAACATTGATGATACTTATCGATCATGAACTTTGTAAGCCTACACAAAACAATCATAAACAGTGTAAGCGTGACTTGGGAATGTAAGATGTCGAGGAAATTCGGGTGTCACTAGCTACCGACCTCGTCCCAATTATATACTTGGTAAATATACAATTGTTAATGGAATTAAACATACAACTAACGAAACATAATTTTCATTTTGTAGTCCAGTATATTGCATGGAGTTTTTGTTTAACTTGTACTATGTATTTCCACAGAAAATGTTACTCATAGTAACGGGAATAATTACGGAACCGTAACACGGCACCCTTCCATGTGAAGAACATTCGTCCTCGAATGGTTTTATACTTTAGTTTAGGGAATATTTAAAGGTGGGTACAAGTTTTCTATTTATTAATCCCTTAGTTACTGGCCACAAAACGACGTACATGAAAAGTGCATATTATGATTAACAATAAATTGATAAGCATATGTACATCATTCATAATATTCAACAGTTAACAAAGGTATGATCAAACAAATAAGTTATCCATGAATGAAAACATATAAACAACATTCACAAAATTAATATTTTATAGGTTAAACAGTATTATATCCATATCACTTCCTCCAATTCACAAAGAAACTTCTCTGCATTTTCTATTTCAGAATATTTCAACAGTCCATCCACAAGAGACTCTATCCGTCAGCTTTGGCTTGTCTTCTTTTATGGTTCCTGGTCCTTGATTCATCTACGGATGGCTTTATCAGTAAGAAATCTTTAGCATGGGAATTATCTATTTGTATGATTTTACAAATATCCCATTTATACTTTGAAGGAGGGAGTCTATGCATGAGATTCGAACAACGTGGGCTTATTTGATCCCAGATATGGTTTTCATCTATTGTGGTGAATAATATCCCCTTTATGCTTTGCATGTTTCCCTATCCTGTAAAGAACATCATTTATTCTTTGTAAAATAATGTACGGTCCCTTCCATTTCAGGGATAACTTTTTGTGGAGTCCCATATTTTGATTTGGGAAAAAGACCCATACAGCATCCCCTGGATTATAGAGATTTTGATGAATTTTTGCCTTGTAATCCCGTAACATATTATCAAAAGATATGCTCAATTTATTTCGGGCAAAATCATGTATTTTATTTAGCTTTTCTGATAGATTTTGGGCATATTCAGAACTTAAATTTGATTCATATTTTCAGGGTCTACTCTACCGAGTACTAAATCTAATGGGAGTGTGACTGATCGCCCAAATACCATTTCACAAGGGCTTACCCCCGTGGCCTCATGAGAAGATGATCGATATGCCAACATGAGTAAGGGTATCAGGTCATCCCAATCTTGTTGATTTTTGCTAACAAATGCTGAAAACATATTTTCAATTGTTCTATTTGCCCTTTATATCATCCCATCAGACTGAGGTCTGTAGGGAGTAGTACGAGTTTTGTCTATATCCAGTATTTTACACATTTCTTGAAAAACATCACATTCAAATGTTTGCCCTTGATCTGAATGAATTTGCATTGACACTCCAAAAATGGAGACTACATGATTTATTAATTTCTGAGCTACAGTAACTTATTTCTTATTTCTAATAGGGATGGCATCAACCAATTTGGTGAAGTAATCTCCCACAACTAGAAGATAAGAATTTTTCCTGTGAGTCATTGGTAAATGACCTAATATATCCACTGCCCATCTTTCCATTGAAGCACCAACCAGGTACTTTTGTAACGGGGCCTTTGGGAATTTATTAGATTTTCTAGCTGCACATTTATCGCAGCTTTTACAGAAATGTTTTACGTCTTGGGACATCTTGTGCCAGAAATATTTGTCTCGGGCCTTTGACAGAGTTTTATTGAACCCCAAGTGACCGCCCGTTACATTACAATGTATATCTTTCAATACTTTCCCAGTGATAGATTTTGGGAGAACAGTTTGAAATTTTGGTTGCACTTTCCCATTTATGATATAATATATCATCTATATAATGGAGAGAATCAAATCTTGCCCAGTAATATTTGCATGTTTCACTCAGATGGGAAATGTCTTCCCAAAGGGTTTTTTGTTTAGATTTGACCCATTTTATTAATTCCCTTAGATCTGAGTCTTTACTTTGTAAAGCCTTAATACCATTTTCTGGTTTGTCATTTTCTAGCAGTATTTTAGACTCTTCTTGTCTCGTAGGGTTTATCCCAGTGGTTGGAGAGTTTCCCTGAGACATTGTAGTAGCAGCTTTGTTTTCAGGTACAAAAATATTTATGTTGGGACTAGTAGTTAGATCACTTTGTTTAATTTCAGAAATCATTTCCTTCTTTACTTGGCTTTGGTTTTCCATGGGAGATTCATTTTGCAAGTGTTGATCTAATGAAAATTGTCTTCTGCTTTACTACAATGCTAACAATCTAAATCTCCCATGAGACAAGGTCTGCGGGACAAAGCGTCCGCATTTTTATGAGTGCGACCTGCCCGGTATTCAATTGACAAAAATTCAAACCAACGTACTATTTGACCCTCTGGATTTTTGAAGTTTAACAACCAAGATAGGGACCCATGATCTGTTCTAACTTTGAATGTCTTCCCATATAAATAGTGGTAAAAGTGCTTTATTGAGTTTACAATAGCTAGTAACTCCCTTCTAGTCACACAATAACGACGTTCAGCAGCACTGAATGTCTTGCTTTAATAACTTATGACTTTTTCTACTCCCCCTTGTTCTTGGGAAAGAACGGCTCCCAAGCCTATGTTAGAGGCATCAGTATCTAAAATGAATAAGCCTTCTTCATTAGGATAGGAAAGAATGGGAGAACTAGTTAATGCTCGCTTTAGCATGTCAAATGCAACATTGCAATTATTATCCCATATAAACTTCCTATTTGCTTCTGTAAGTTTATGTTATGGTCTGGCCATATCAGAAAATTTGTATATAAATTTCCTATAGTAAGAACAAAGACCTAAGAAGCTTCGAACTTCCTTAACATTTCTAGGAATGGGCCAATTGTTGACTGAGTCAATCTTTGAGGGATCAGTGGCTATCCCATGTTCGCTCACAATTTGTCCCAGAAATGGAACTTCTTTTTGCAACAACAAACATTTCTTTGGGTTCATTTTCAAATTAGCCTCCCTCAGTCGCCCAAAAACTTGTCTTAAATTATCAATATGCTCTTCAAAAGTTTTAGACAATATCATTATGTCATCTAAATAGACAAGGCATATTTTCCAAGAAAGATTTGATAACACTCTTTCCATTAGTCTTTCAAAAGTTGCTCCCGCATTACATAAACCAAATGGCATGTTTAAAAATTGCCAGTGACCTCCCCCTGGGATTGAAAAAGCTGTTTTGGGTTTATCTCCAGGTGACATTTTCACCTGCCAATACCCACTCTTAAGATCTATCGAAGAAAACCACTTTGAGCCTGACAAGGCATCTAATGTTGTATCAATTCTAGGTATGGGGTAACTATCCTTAATAGTGACATCATTTAACTTTCTATAGTCTATACAGAACCGGATTGTCCCATCCTTTTTCTTAACAAGGACTATGGGAGAACTCCATGGACAGTCTGATGTCTCTATTACCCCCCTATCTAACATATCATTTAATTCCTTCTTGGCCTCAGCCATTTTAGCTAGAGGAATACGTCTAGGAAGTTGTTCAATCGGGAGTGCATTTCCCGTATTTAAGTTATGCTCTACTAAATCTGTTGAACCCATGTCAACTGATGAAAGGGAGAAACTTGTTTGAAATTCCCTTAAAAGTTTTTCTAATCTCTGTTTTTCTTCAGAGCTAACGCTTGTATGGACCCTATCTAAAATTTGTTGTAAATGATTTGACATCTGGGAGTCATTCCCATTACAATTAGCCCTTATGTTTTTCAGATCTTCCCCATTCTCTATATCTTCAACCCTTTCTATCAAGGCTACTACACTACCCTTGTGTAACTTTACACTTTCGCCACCTAAATTCATATAACGTACTGGGACATTTTCCCCATCTACTTCTACCAAAGTTTTTGAAATCAATAATTCATGTTTTCCCATAAACTTTTCTGAGGGTTCCACTACGGCTGTACCCTGTTGAAAATTTGGACTTTCTATCCTAGCAGGGGCAATAAATTCACAGTTTGGGGGAATCACTAAATCTTCTAGCAAAAGAACCCTACAACAATCAACTACACTATTTTCATAACTAAAACAAGGGATTTCTTCTCCCTGAATAACAAATTTCATTTTCTTCAAACAAATCTCACATGAAAACTTTTTCAAAAAATCTACACCCAAAATACATTTGTTCTGAATGTTTGCAACAATAACTGTATGGGAAATTTCAATATCCCTAAGACTAAATTAAGGAGACACTCTCCCACAATTGGGATGTCTTCTCCATTGCTGATCTTAATTTCACACTACAAGATTTTACACTTGACTTTTCTACCAATTGTATTCTTTCAAATAATTTTGGGCTTATAATAGTCACACTAGATCCGGTATCTACTAATATTGTTGTTCTAACATTTTCTATCTTCCCTGATATAAAAATTCCCTCATCTCTTTGTTTGACATCTCCCACTAATTTACTTTTGGAACTTTGTTTATTTTGAGATTCACTTTCTAACTCCCTACTCTGACTTTTTATAGACTTGTTTGATACCGGATCAACCCCTTTACAATTGTCTAATGGTTTATTCTGGGGCTTGTTCCCAACTCGCGCCGATTTCCGCCCCATGAATTCGACGTTTGATGCTTTCCCTGTCTTTGAAAACCTGAGTCATTTCTATGAGGGGATGGCCTCTGGGAGTATTGATTCCCCTGATTAGATCTATTTCCATAACCATTTCTTGACCTATATCTGTCATGTTCCCAATTGTTAAACTGTATGGGACTATTGTTTGAAAATCTGTTTTACCTGGATCTCCCATAATTTTGGGACTTTTGACCAGAACTGTTCAAACTCGACAAAGAGTCTTGTATGTCTTTTAGTAAAGAAATAACTAAATCTTCCCTTTTATTGTTGGGATGGTTCTGGGAGTCAGTGTTTGAAGTGACAGCATGGACTGGCTTTCCTGTTTGGGCGTCTGCCATTTTATGTGTCTCTAACCTAATTGCTAAAATTTCAGCTTCCCCAATATTTTTAGGTCTTGCCTCCCGAATTCTAAGGCGCATATCCGGGTCTGGGAGAGCGTCAATAAAATGATCTGGGGCTAAAATGTTTGTAAGGTTAGGATCAGCAGTTGGGTAGGATTGTCTGATTAATTTCTTGATTGACTGAGCTAATTCTGATAGGGACTCTTTTTCTCCCTTTATCCTATTTTTCAGTCTTGCCCGATACATCTCTGACTTTTCTACTGATCCAAAACGCATATTGAGAACTTTAACAAGGGAATCAAAATCCCTAATCTGAGCTTCATTGAGCTCCTCTAAAATTGCCCTTCCATTCCCAGTTAAACAACTAGCAAGATACAAAGATTTCGTCCTATAATCCCAACCATGCAATTCTACTAAAACTTGAAATTGTTCCAAGTAATCTTCAAAATCTTCCACCCCATCATATGTTTGTGGCTTTATTGAGACTGTTGGTTTTACTTGATTGGGAGAATGTACGCTATTGTCATTTCTGTTCACCCTTGGGGATATTGGTTTCCTGAAAGATTCAAATCTCTCCCCAGCCCCTAGAAATGGTGATTGACTAGGATTTTTAGAACAGTTCCCATATGTATGTGTACCAATAGCTTCCCCATGATTTTCAAGTGATGACAACCTCCCATGTAATTGATGGGACTCGTGTCTCATTTGGGATAATTGTTCTTCAAAATTTTGATTCATGCATAGAACATCTCTTTTCAAACCTTCAACAGCTCTTGACAAAAGTTCATTTATATTTTCAGAAACACTGGGAGCTGATGTATGATTTGACAAAGATTCATCTTGACAGATTTCTTCATGGGATAAATTTTCTACTTCTACCGGGACTCTTGGATTGAAAACAATCTCTCCCAATCTTCTAAATGACTACTATCCCTTGACATTTTTGCTTTTGGGAGTACTTATTTATTCTATGATATAAAGAATTTACTTGTTCAATTGTTTGTTTTATGTCCAATCAGATAATGGGAATAAAAATTTATGAATCCCACTTCTGACACCAATGTTGCCGTTCAGGGGTTTTCTCCCTTGAGACAACTTGTGGGTCTCCCAACTCTGTATATTGGACAAAAGAACTATGAGTCAGGATTAAAGTTCATAAAAATATATTATTGCTTGTTGTATTTAATTTGCACAATCTCTTTGAATGTTTATCCCTATTTCTTACTCCCGCAGAAATATTATTTCTCTCCCAGAATGGGAATAAAATATTCTTAAATGGGAGAAATAAGTTTTAGGGAATTACATATAAATTTATAAAAGCATAACAGTATTTGTCTTTTCCCAAAATATTGGGAGTTCTTTACAATACAATTATATTATAGTCAGGTATATTTATGGGAGAGTTATTTTACCTCCCACTTATTTTCTCCTACAGGCTAATTCAATATAAATAGTAAAAAGTAATAATAAAATATGCTACAAAATTCATCAGCTCCCAAAAATTAATATTTAATTATGTTATAGTAATTACCCATCGATATCGCTCCCAGCCATGCTGGCGATGCGATGATCGAACATATTCTGACCTATTCTAAACCCATTCTACACCTATTCTGACTGTCAGTCGATTTGCGCTGGCTTATATTGGCATCGGGCTCGATTGTCGTGACGTCACGACAAAGTGAAAATACCCGCCATGTTTGTTAGTTGATATGCTGCCATGCCGATCGATCCGACGAAGGAAACACGCACCCTAGGGCGCGGCTAATTACTGTGGGAAACATTGATGATACTTATCGATCATGAACTTTGTAAGCCTACACAAAACAATCATAAACAGTGTAAGCGTGACTTGGGAATGTAAGATGTCGAGGAAATTCGGGTGTCACTAATTACCGACCTCGTCCCAATTATATACCTGGTAAATATACAATTGTTAATGGAATTAAACATACAATTAACGAAACATAATTTGTCATTTTGTAGTCCAGTATATTGCCGGGAGTTTTTGTTTAACTTGTACTATTTATTTCCACAGAAAATGTTACTCATAGTAACGGGAATAATTACGGAACCGTAACATTAACACAAAGCAAAGCGACTCACAATTTCTGTTAATATCACCCTTGAGTCTCAATGACTTTTTTTCTC